TTTACATTAACCTACCAACCAAAATTAAAGCAATTAAGAAAGTCCAAATTATCATCGATATAAAACACGAACATTTGTTAAAATGTAAGAAACAACTATTTGCAATAACAGAACCATGCGAATCCAATAAATAATCCAATAACTTTTTGTAACTCAGAAAGCTAAATCAAGAGAACCTTAATGTAAGATAATTACCAATCATCACATACCCGATTTTGAGGAGATACTGCCAGGCACCATACTGCTGAACGTTTTTAATGGGCCAGTATCGCCAGATGGAAAGGAGCTAAAACCACATAGCTCTTTTTTTTATACAATACCGAAACTTTACGGTTACTATTGGCGAGGTGACTTACAAATCAAGTGAAATCAATATAGCCGAACCAGAACCTCCAGTTTTCCAACTCATGGGAGAAAAAACGAAACTTGAGGAAGTTCTCTCACATTGAATGTTTAAAGAACTAAACATCAACAACACAAAAGTGATCGAGAAACTAAGAAGTAAACCAACAATATTAGCTTCTGTTAGTTATGGATCTACCATAATAATCCTGGTAGTAATAATAGGCATTGCCACAGAACTCCTGCGAAAACGTAAACAGTCGGAACGAACAACCGCCCCTCTTCCGGAAACGTAGAAAAAACCTACACGACCCGGACCGGAACTCTTTTACGTTGCGACCGAGGACAGTCGCGTTTAAGAAGGAAAGAGTCAACGACTTAGGCCCACCATCGCTGGCTAAGAAGATAGAAGCTTAGTAGATGTAGTGTTACCGGGTAAACAACAGTTTAATTTAAAAGATGCAATCTCAGCGCATGTTACTTAACAGGTGAACTTATTTAGAGCACCTGCCAATTGGGAAATCAATGCATTGACCAATTGTAATTAGAAACGGCTAAAAATAGTTACAAATCTTCATGGGCAGCCAGTAAGAACAAAGGACGTCAGCGGAACCAACGACTGCAGCAGAGACGGTGATAGCGTTGGAGCAACACGTAGGCTATATAAACGTTTGTTACGCTAAAGCAAAGTTAGTTTTTAATGCAACCTAAGTCAATAATGAATTTTTTTTAATAAAAAAAAAATTATTAATCTTTAAATTATATATAATATATTCGGACAGACGGACATGGCTAGATCGACTCGGTTATAGATGCTGATAAAGAATATATAAAGTTCTATATGTTGAACTTATACATTTGTTAAAAAAAAACAATGCTTATTGCTAACAAAATTTGCCTTTATTTGGGTGTTGCACAGCACATTACCAACCATTTTTTCTTTCATTTGTTAATATATTTTTCAAAGGCAAAAGTCAACATCAAAAAATCTACTTGGTCTACACACATATTTCTAGTGAATGACGCAAAGGTTTCCGAATATAATAATAGATGCACAAATAAAAAGAATATATACATATATTTACTATATAAAAAGCGGGTTTTCCTTCCTGATGACGTAACGATTTTCACGGTTTTGCATTCGTTGGAAGGGTCTCGGACTCCGTGAGGTTAGGGGCAAAGAATTTCAACAGAAAAGCGGGAAATACATCGCAATTACTACATACCAGAGAACTGCATTGAGTATGATCGGTCCGGTTCAATCAACAACGCTCAAGCCGATCAAAACCCTACACAGCGCATCGTTACAACTTGTTTGATCGAGCTTCGCGCACAATACAAACGATCTCGTTCAATCGGCTTGCTTGTTTTGTTTGCTGATTTATACAGATTGGTTCGTACCGGCATGATGATCGAAACTGATTGTGTAGGAAAAGATCGATGAAGCCCAACGAACCATAAACGCTCAAGCTTCACTCATGTTGCGCTTGATTTGATTGTGAATGATGCAATCAGACCGAAAATATGTACATAATTATATGTGCGCAGAAAAGAAGTTGCGATGAATAGAATTAACTGAAACAGATTAACTTCATTTATTTGTCATTTTATATCCTAAAAACTCAAATTTAACAAATAGTATGCTCAGAACACTAAGATACACAAATTCTTCTTCATGGAATAATCGGATTGAATCGAACCCGGTTTGACCAAAATAAATGATTGTGATCGGCCTGAATGCAAGGAGCAGTCTCGATCATTCTTTGCAATTCACACAAAACGTTTGATCAAAAGCAATTATTCCGCAACCGGGCAAGAGTGATCGAAACTGAATATTCGCTTCGAACATGCCCGTAACGATCATACAATTTTGTTGATGCAAAGTTTTGCGTCACAAAAAATCCGAGAATACAAAATTTTTGGTTAATTAAGGCGACCAATAACATAGAACTGCTATTTTTTCATTTGGATTCCATAAAAATGGTCCCAAATTTTTCTGGGAGTTCCATACAAACGGTCGGGAAATTAATTGTGAAATATTAATACTGAGCTTCATTTATACCCTTGCAGGATATTATAATTTCAGTCAGCCGATTGTCAGCGCAGTAGACTGGAAGGCACTACACATATTACTCGCGTTACCCAAAGAGGGGGGCCAATCCGTGGCCCTCCACATAAATAAGAAGGCGGGAGAGGTGAAGAAGGACCTAGAGGGAAAACGGTGACCTTACGTTGAGTTGAGCGGCGAGTGGAGTTGAGCCCGGTATCCATGTCCCTCAGGATGCTGCAGCCCATGGAGCAAGAGTTCGCCGATGTTGCTTTAGTCAAAGATTGTCTCGGGCAATGCCGTCGCCCAGGTCGAACAGGGACCTTGGAGTGATCCAACGCGATAACCTCAGAGAATTCTTCAAACTCGCCAAGCAGGCGAAGGATTATATAACCAACGAGGAATTCAAAATCCTTCTTTGGAATTACAAGAAGGAAATACGCGGGGCGCAAAGAAGCTCTTGGAGAAACTTCTGCACCAACATAGAGACGGCCCCAGAAACGGCCAGACTACGGAAGTTTCTTTCCAAGCCACTCACCATACAGAGTCACCTCAAACGCGACGACGGACGGTGGACAGATGGCAGCGAAGAGGCCCTAACAGCACTAATGCACGCGCACTTCCCAGGTTGAACAGCGATCACCAATGCCAACGAGCACCAGGTACTAGCAACGAAGGAAGAGCATCTCCCAAATGATCTCATATCCTCTAGAGGAATTCACTGGGCTATAGACTCCTCCGCGGGGATATAAGCATCAGGACAGACGGAATAGCCATGCTGCAGGCGACCAAAGAAGTCATTACTCCATGGCTACACGCAATTTACACAGATTGTTTAAGTACGGGCTATATCCCAACCCAATGGAGGACCTCGAGGATTGTCTTCCTACCCAAAGCAGAAAAGACCAGCCACGTCACTCTCTAGGACTACTAGCCGGTAAGCCTCACCTCCTTTCTTTTCAAGACGCTAGAAAAAATGCTGGACTTAAACATCCGAAACTATGTGGGCATATTACTGTCAACCAACCGGCATGCATATACAAAAGGGAAATCAGTGGAGACGGTGCACTCAGTTAGATATGTGAGTGGACCGACAAGGTAGGACTCAATATCAATGTGGAATAGACGGACCTCATTCTCTTCACTAAGAAATACAAGGTACCGCCATGGTTCCTCCCAAAAATCGAATTCTTAGCACTATACTGGACAGCAAGCTGGCATGGTAACCTAATGTACTAAAGAGGGTGAAAACGCCCGCCATTGCGCTATATGCATCCAGGAAGATGCTCAGCAGCACATGGGGTCTCTCACCCCCTCTGATGCACTGCGTCTTTATATTGGTAGTGCGTCCGACACAGCTGTACGGAGTCTTTGTATGGTGGCAAGCCAATAAAAGATGACAAACAAAAAGCTTATGGAGAGAACCCAGCGGCAGGCACTGCTTGCATATCTGGGGTGCTGAGATCAACCCCCACAAAAGCACTAGAGACCATAATTAGAATTGATCTCGTGGATAGCGCTTAGAAAGGTGTCGCCACAGGGATACGGTCACAGCTCAATTGGTCGTACTATGAGCAGTACATCTGACTACATGACGCCTAGAACATCAACATTCATGGGACCTGAAGACTGGAAAACCGTTCCATACCATACTCGATACCTAAAAATATAAACTGACGACTCCCAGATGGAAGGAGGACTTGGAGCGGGCATATAATGCACAGAACCTGAGACGAGGCTGCGGCAAAGCTGGCGCAGAGAATAGACCATCCACGTGAGGCGGTAAGTCTGTTCGTAGACAGCTAAGCGGCAATTAGATCCATGCATTCATTAGCGGTAAGTTCTAATAATGTTCTGGCAAGCAAGGAGGCATTAAATATCCTAGATGTCTGGATCTACTGGGTTCACAGCCACCAGAGCATTGATGGCAACGAGACCGCAGACGTACTTGCAAAGGAAGGATTCGGAATGACGAGACGCAGAACGGAAAACGTCCACGTCTCCCTAAGAACGAGACGGGCTGATACACTGTCAAAAAACTAATTTCTTCTCCATTCAACAACACTAAAAATATCTAAGATCATGTGCATAGAGCGCAATTACAAACGGAGCCAGTACGTTCTTTACCACGGAATGACTGCAGAACGCTAGTGGGAATTCTCATGGGACACTGCCAAGCTGCGGCATATGCAGTCAAGCTTGGCATAACCGACAATGGTAACTGCAATAAACGCAAAGAACCCGAGGTAACTGTAACCTTGGAACATCTCTCATAACTTTTTCAGTTTTCAACAGATTTTCATTTAATTTAAAAATGCCAAACTGTGAATGTAAAACTGTATAATAAGTTTAACATGTATAATAAGTATAGGTGACTGTAGTGACCCTTCAGTACCAAAATTCCTTTCCTGTCCGATTCCTGGTGTCATGTTAAAAAAAACAAAAACAAATCTCATGGGTTTCGGTAAGAGAACTCCGAAACAAAGTAGGCAATGAAAATTCTACCTGTGTTCGGATACTGCCAAACAATTAATTGTTGTTTTTGACGGGATTCGGAGCAGTGGTTCGGAAATTAGATTGAGATGATGAAAAATATTATTGAACGAAATAAAAAGAATCGATAGTCTCGTTAGTGAAATCAATTTTTTCACAGCTCTAATGACACCTGAAGTATTCACAAGTTTTTTGCAATGTAATTTATTAAATATTTTTAAAGGGTAAGTGACTTATTTGTATTCAGTTAATAAATTCATTTCCAGAATTGATTTTGAACCTGGATAATTTTTTAACCTAGACAGTGTGAACGGAAGGAGATTGTATATCCAGTATTTGTTTTCTTCTTAATTGGTGTGTATATTTGTGAAAAATATTGTCCATTTGATTCTAATATCCATAAGTATATACATATGAATTTTAATTATAGATTGACGAGGCAACAGCCGGAAGGAAAGACACGTAACATAATTTTAGGGGAAACGCAAGAAGTTATGCTAAGAAAAATTGTGGTAATCATTGAAGAAATTACAAAGTTTTTTAAATGAATAAACAAATAAAAAAATTTATTATAAATTTCGTCAGATATTTACTATGGGGCGGGGGGTTCCGGGGATCTTTTACACGTTTTCCTCTGGGATTCCTATCTGATTCTACTCTAAATTCCACTACGATTCTTTGGGGATTCCGCCTGGTACTCCTTTGAGTGTCCTACCTGATTCTTCTCTGAATTCCCCATGATTACTGCCTGATTCCGTCCCAAATCCCTGTATGATTCTGTTCAGAATCCCTTCCGAAATTCCCTTCTGATTCAGGGGGGAATTCGTGTCGAAATTCATGACAAATTCCTAGCAGGATTCCTTAATGATTCCCTAAAAATTCCTCAGGTAGTCCGAATTCAGGTTTGCTAACGCCTACTGTATGCAGATTCCTGGATGGCTTGTATGAAAGCTCCCTAATGATTCAGGATGTAGTCTAGAACATTCCAACCTGATTCAGACCTGAATCCTAAAGGATTGGTACTGAAGGGGAAAGTAGCCATTAATACAAATAAATGATCAAAAAGCAATTTGCAAGGATGTAAAAACTTAAGCGTTTCGAAGTTAGCTTAATTTCATGTATTTTTATAATTATATTTGATTTCACTATTTAGATTGTGCTGCTGTTACCGTTTTTTTTGTGCGTTGGTTTTGACTCTGAATATTCAATTAAATTGTCTTAAGCTTTTAAATGAGTTTCCTTGACTTAATTAAGCCGTACGTAGTGGGTAGCAATCTCTTCTTATTTTTATAGTCCTTCGTTTGCTTCCCAGGTGTCATCAATAATTTAACGTAGAGTAAACAGAAAGCAAATATAATTGATAATGGAATTTAAAATCAAGATACATTTTAATTAATTTTCTCTTCTCTGACAATTTTTATAGTAAATACATTTTACATGATAATTAATAAAAATAGTCACATGACTAAAATAGAATAAATAAATCAAAATTTTAATTGGCTTTTCGGCTTTCGGGCGCGGACTAAACATTTTTGTAGATCTTAAAAAAACCAATATTCTTTTATATTGAAAGTTTGCGTTAAAATGTCTCCGTATCTACAATATCTTGGAAGTCAGCCGTATAAATTTCTGAAGAATTTAAAGTTTACATTAAGCTTAATGATAGCGAAAGAGTATTTATTTTAGTAGAGGTCAATCTATCCTTGTAAAAAAAGTTGTTCAAATTTATTTACTTAATAAAACAAATAAATTATATTAACTAGTTTTATTTTATAAATTACATATGTGTATATTTTTATTTATTATATATATTGTCAATTTTTATAGGAAGACATTTCGGCATTGCATTGTTTGTTATTTTGTTTAAGATTTGTGTCTTATTCGTGCAAATTATTATGCGGCTTTTACAATAATTTGTAAAGAGTCATATTTCAATCATAATAAAAATTTCTTACTTTTTAATTCACTTATAATTTTTTTTAGATTTGAATTTAGTTCTATAATTATTATCACGCTGCTAAGCTAAAAAAAGTGAACATTCTACATATGCTAGTTTTTTGAGACTATAAGAAGCTTTAGGCTTAGATTATACGCACCTTAGTCTGCATAACGCGGCCGAAAATACATAACAAAGGCTTTAATTCGCAAAGCTAAAGAATTTTTTGTTTGGGTCGGGAGAATAATTAAGTCTTATTAACGTTATCTCTTAAATCTTAACATCTTGATAGACTTTTCATTTTTTGTGCGGCTGTTTAATAATTAAAAGCAGTTTATTGTACAGTGTCAGAAATATACATATATGTAAGTAGGCACATACAATATAATAAATATAATATGTAAATAAATATGGGCAATTCTCCAGCAAGGTACACCGCGTTCAAAAACTTTAAATTGCTTAAAAACTAGTATTTTTAACATAGTTACATAAAAATTGGTCAGATTAATCAAGACAAAGATAATTATTCATTTTCTAAACTAACTTAAAAAAAAATCGAAGTCAAACACGCGCAAACGTAAATAATGTTGGTTTTATCAAATAAAAGTCATAAAAAATTACATGTTTTGTTTTGATGCCATTCTCTTAAACTTTTGCTTTTACTTTTGCTTTCTTATATCACGCAGAGAATGAAAAGAGTCATATATAAAGTACAATGTTCACCAATGTTCGTACAGTTAGTTTGAATTATCGCTTTCCAAAACGTCACGTGCGACCGGGACTAAAATAGAATTTAAAAAATAACTACTTAATATTTTAAAATCAAACAAAATACATTATTAAGATAATTGAGTGTATAATTATTTAAATTTTATTGCATTACAATTTTTGATCATGCTTCGCTGAAATCAGGGGTTAAACTGGTTTTTTGCAAATGTAACTTCTGTTTTTGTCGCGTGAGAATGCATTTTAGTGAATATCTTAAAAACGAACAAGGGCCCAAAATCGATCTTAGCACCAAGAGCTAACCAAAAGCTATACGTTTCAAATTTTGTAAAATTAAAATAAAGTTTTGGCACATGTTTTTTTTAGTTTGTATGCGTACGAATGTCGCCTTCGACACCAGAGAATTGCCCATATATTAAAACTTGGTAAAAGAAATAGTTTTTAAGTTATTTGCTTTTAATCTTTAATATTATACATTTTATTATAGCAGCAATGATTAATTATGAATGTAAATATTATTATATTATTATTGTAATTTAATAACCAAGTGATATATTTTGTTAAGTATAGTGTTCATTCACAAATATCAATTTATTATCGGAATACTTTTAAATAAAAAACTTCGAGAACTTTTAATATTATATGTTCATAGTTCAAAAACTTCAAATATTTTCAAAGGATAAGAATGAATTACGAATTGTTTACAAATTGACTTTGTCACTGTATTAATATTGCAACTCCATAAAAACCTTCTGACACCTTCGGTACTTTATTAAATAGCTACTGCTGGTCTCCGGCTCACACTACATATAGTCTTCATATATACATATGTACATCAATGAGTGAAATCGTTTTCAACCAAATTCATATAAAAAAAATCCTCAACACAGAAAACTATTTGTGTAAAATTATTTGAAATAAAGAATTTTTAAAAGCAAAAGACGGGAAAAAAAATGTTAATTTTTATTTCCATCGACCAGTTTCATAGTCGCATTCTCTATACACAAAGTGGCAATTGGAATTTAACATATGTATGTTAAAGTATGTTCCGAGAGTAGTCCTATTGGACGCGGACGACCAAAACTGATTCCAGATTTAGCGACTTAAAATTTATGGGGGTAGAACTTATCTTCCTGTGTATTGTTTTTTTTTTTTTTTTTGGAAGGATTAATCAAGCCCATAGTTTAAAAATAACAATGATATTATATGATTATTATATTATGAGAAAAGTTTAATGTGGCCCAGACGGTAACCAAAGTATTGGCGGGATCCTAGGCATCCAAGACAGACTTGCCATAAACGAAACCATGGTGGTGGCTCTCTTATGGTTTGGGCCGCTTTTAGTGCTAAAGGGCGGATACGGATCTCCTAGAAAGTGTCCTTATACCATTTGCAGAAGAGTTGCATGGCAAGGACTGGATATTTCAACAGGATAACGCTCCTATACACGTTGCGAGGTATACGAAGTCGTTCCTTGATTCAAAAGATATACCCCTACTGCAGTGGCCAGCAATAAGTCCGGACTTGAACCCAATTGAGAACCTTTGGGGCATCCTGTCAGCAAAAGTTTACATGGGTGGAAGACAGTTTGAGTCATTGAAGGGCTTAAAGGAAGCCATTGTTAAAGAATGGGATGCCATCGACACAAACACGCTCCAAAACTTGGTGAACTCAATGCCTCGACGTCTGGAATTGGTCGTACAAGAGAACGGAGATACTATACCATATTAAAATAATAATTTTAAGTCATTTTGTTGAAAATAAATTACTTACTTTCTTAACATTTTGAGTTTTTTTAATTTTGCACAAATATCAACTTTCGCTGAAGAATTTTTTCAATTAAATTTTCTATGTATTAAACACTTCATAATTTAATAAAAATCATGTTCATCAAATTTCAATACCAACTACCTATTTAAAAAAAAAAATATTGATAAAAAGTCCGCCAAGTAAAAGTTAAAAAATAAACCAACAAAATATGATGCACAAATATCAATTTTACTGAGGTAACTTAAAATGAATTTTTCAGTTACTGGTTTGTTATTAGCTAAATTTGTTGTATTTTATTTTGTTTTGTAACATATTTTTGCTATTATAATAATTGATATTTAGAAATATCGGTGTTGCATGGAATTCCGTGCCAGGAAAGAATTGCTAACTTTGGTTCGACCAACCGTCTAAACAAATGCTACATTTTGAAGGTGAACTATAAAAACTGGTCTCCAAGTAACATAATGTGAAAATTTTAAATATGGTACACAAAATTTATCATGTTGTAATTCATAGTATAAATTTATCAAAACGAGTTTTTCTTTCAAGCATGTGTTACATTTCAACGCAGCTCAAGAATAGCCAAATCGACTTTTATAGTCATGAAAGTGTCATTAAAATGTTATATGTTTAACAGAAATAAGTAATCGATTAGCAGCTCTACGATTTTTTTCTCTTATTTTAATTACTTTAAGTTGGTGACGAAGATAGTAAGAGTAAGGTAAAATTATGAATTGTTCAGAGTACAAATAATAGATAAATAAAAATAAATTATACAACTCTTAAACTTATGTTAAGACTCCAAGTTCAGATTTATAAAGATATTTTCCGTAAAAAACCATACAATATTAATTACTTTTTATATTAACCTACCTTTTTATAATGATTAGAAGCTTAACATAAAAGTACCTTATTTTCATTTTCGTATTTACTCAATTTTTATGCGACAGCAGTCTCTTCAGCACATATTGAGTTATGTGAACCACGCTGACCATTGTCAAATTCAATACGAAGTATGTAAGACGCAGTCAGTGTATTAAGAAGA